AAATCAGCTAAAGTGCTGTTTTTTGTGAAATCAACAATAACTATATTGATAAGCTTGGTCGACTCATTAATTTGAATATATAGGTATTCCACGGAACAGAAGACGCCGATTTTGGATTTTCGCCGCCGACGCTGTGAATCAGTTGTGAGTCGACCACCTTCACTTCCCCACAGGGATTGGCACGCTCTGCTTTTCACTCTGTGGTTAATCCTTTCTGTACTTTCCTTCTTCCTCGCTGACTTGTCGAAATCTTGATCTCCTTCACATCTTTTATAAGGGCGTGTGTGGAGCAATGGTCGGAGGCGCGCTGCACCACCTACATGGAATCGATCCACGCGCCCATGGCTCACCAAGCCTTCTAACCCTCCGAGGTCAGCAAATTGGTACCAGAATTGTCTGAGAGGAGAGGAGCGCTGGCTCAATACATTGGTAGGCCACCGTGAGTCATTGTAGAGGCCAGATATGCATTCAATCACCTCCAAACGATACTTAATGAAGTCGAATGCATAGCGCATCTCTCAGGGATTGATCAACACCGGCAGCTTTATCCTTTATCCTTTTACACATCTATTATATGCTTGTTTATGTACATTTCCATGTTTTTACAACGCATCCAACTCCTGTGTGTTAGAAGGAAGGAGAACCCCATCGATAGTACACGCACTATGAGGAAAACACTTGGCAGTCGGTTGTGCCATATATATCGAATACGTTGCCGCATTTTTAAATTTTTTCATATCGACATATTCCGTACGATAGCTCATCATAGCAATTGCAAAGCAAGGAACAACAAACCACAGGTTTAACGTGCTTCTATATGGTTTAGTAGCATTGAATGAAGACGAATTCAGCGTCATTCGGTGCACTCCTCGGTCGAGAGCGAATAAGAAGACACTGAACGTAATAAAGAAAGGATAATGCTCTCGGCGTTGATCAATCCTTGAAGCATGCGCCATGTATTCGACTTAAGCGTCGTTGGGGTGATTGATGCATCACATCTGGCCTTCACAATCACTCGCTGTGGTCCACCGACGTATCGAGCCAGTGCCCCTATCTACAAGACAAGTGTGGTACCAATTTCCTCACCCAAGAGTGATGGAAGGTTTGGTGGGCCTAGGGCGATGAGACCGATCCCATGTGTATTGTAGGACGCCTCCGACCACTACGCTACGCGCACTTCCAGACACCGAAGATGCAGACAAAAATGTGGAGCCTCTTGTTATCAACGTCGAAGGGTAAAAAAATGTGAGTGGGAAAATGACAGCATACATGACCATGATAAGATTAGAAGTGACTAATCATACGAAATTATACTTCACAAGCACTAAATCTTCAATAGCGAAAAATTTGCGGTTGATCAACAGCTCTTGCATCGATTCGTAGAGCCTATACATATCTTAATCAACTGCGACTGATATTCGAGATTTGTTGTAAACAAGGCAGACTCTCACGGATAGGGGTGTTATTAGACCTACAGAATTGTAGTGTGGGAAAACTTTCAAAATTTGAAATATAGCTAAATCTCTGGTAATGGAGCGAATGAACAAATGGTTGGATACGTGGAGACGTCTGTTTACAGAAAATTTATGTACAAGAGGAAAATAATGGGTGAAAAGTACAAAGCAATCCCTCCTTTCCTGCTAAACTTTTAACTCCTTTAGTCATCGCAGAGATGAATGAGTGTATATCTAACCTACACAATAACTTACTAGCTCCTGCTATTGTATGAAGGCAGTCTTTCTATTCTTACAGAATAGTACAATACACATTGGACAACACTCGAAGAAGGGATCCCTTACCGTACACTGTTGTCGCGTTCGAACCAACGATCACGTGAGTCACCAACCCACCATAGACACCTTCAGTCCAGAGTTTTGCAAATATCTCAGCAACGTTGTGGTTGTGTATCGCTTAGTGCCCTGCCGTGAAAATCGTAATAGGCAGAAAATAAAAGGTAAAACATTGTGATTTCAACTACAGCCTCAGCTTAACTGGGTTCAATGCCGATGTGGGCTCCCCAGATCAATCCCATTGACGGGTGAATGCTGATGGCGCTGATCTATAGAACTAGCTGAGAGACAGACAAAACGAAGGATCCACATGGTGTGGTGGTGAACGCGTTACTCCCTGGAAAGGACAATAGCGCGTTCGTTCCCCACTATAGACACCTGAAGTCCAGAGCTTTGCAAATATCTCAGCAACGTTTTGATCATGTGAGTACTCTTTTTTGATAAGATTACACGAGTTAAATAAATGACGTTTATTTTCGGCTGACATCTTGAAGGTTTCATCTTCATAATGTGGAAAAGGACATCGCCGAGTAAGTATGGTTCACTTAAGAGAGATGCTCCACTGAGGAAGACCCGACTCGATGGGCGACGAACACCACCTCGAGAACATGAACAGTTGTAGACAACAGACTCGGATCATCGGCCCTGATGAAGACGAAACCGTCGAAACGTTGGCCGAAAACATCATTTATCAACCTCGTGTAAGCATATTAAAGAAAGAATACACATTGACATCACATGAGTATTGCTCAACGTGTCTAACAAATACTCTACACGTATGCAAGTGAAAGATAAAGAGGGAGTACTGAAATGTCCGCGGTACATAATGGAACACTTTTTTGCTAAAACATCAAGACCCCAAGTAATTGAAAGCCTCGACCAGTGAAAGCTGCTGGTAGATAAATGCGACCAGATAGTGTACCATGTACGCCCATGTTCTCTGCACGCCAGCAACACTAACAAATTTTACCTTCATTTCTCCTTCTCCGCGGTTCAGATACATAAAATAAATAAAGGATAAAGCTCTCGGCATGGATCAATCTCTGAGGGATGCGCCACGCACTCAACTTCGTTAAGCATCGCTGGAGGTGAGTGAAAATTCATATCTAATCTTTACAATTACTCGACATGGCGAACCCGATGTATCGAACCAGTGCTGCTATTCTCTCACACAAGTCTGGTACTGATCTGGCGACTCCGAAGTGATGGAAGGCTTGATGAGCTTTGGGCACGGAGATTAATCCCACGTGTATTGTATGGCGTCTCCGACCACTGCGCTACACGCGCGCCTTTCCTACCAATCATTTGCAACTATGAGTATTTTTACCAAAGAGAGTGGAACTGAATGCATTAGAGCACTGCATGAGACACTTCATGTCACTCATATCGAGCTCATACATTACATCACAAAAGTTTAGACCTGGGCACCCGACCCAATCATTGCGACTCTGAAGGCGGTTGCGCCGAAATGGTGGCCAGATATATCAAATTTTTTGTAAACGAATTTAAGGAAATTTTCACACCTTTCTTGTGAAATACATTCTCTGCAACGACCTCATCTAACTTCATCAATAGAAAGAAGTGATCACAGTTATGAAAATTGTATCTCGACCATTGCGCAACATTCTTCCTGCTCACATTGTGAGTCTGACGAGTAATGAATCCAATGCAACTGTCAAGTCTGGTGTAATATTTAAACAAATATGAAGCACCCAAACCTTTAACATGGTAAAATAAGCACCAAAGGAAAATTTAGACCAGTTTTCGGCAAATGCAATCACCCAACCAATCCCGGCAAGAACATTGCTCCTACGGAGTACTGTAGAAAATGCCAGGAAATTGAAGAGTAATCTAGGAACTCCAACATTCGCGTTTGGCTTCGTTTAGCTAAAAGAAGTCATTTCTCTACAACGACAAGACCCGGACACATGCAGTTCAAACTTTATACGGCAGTTCAGTCACTGAAATACGATACTTGGTCTCTTCCACCATCTTCAAACTCGGTTAATATTCAGTTTGTTAAGGTTATAAGCAAATTCATCGTACTTCATATGTTGAGCGAATTGAATCCTCTTCATGTTCAGAACGAAAGCACTGGCAAATTCTCACTACCTGCTGAAGCTTGAGATATAAAACTGATTGGTTACCATTGTACTTTACACTGGCATCATCTCATAACCTACCGAGTGGAGAAGATAAACTAATCGGCCTCAGACATCTAGCTGCACTTTTCGCTGTTTGCAGCCACCATTTGTACAACGCTTCCTAGGTTCGTCATAAAGAGATAGTAGAGAACGAAATAACAATTTAATTAACAAGCAACCCATAAAAATAGGTACTCCATCGCTCCATTATCGTCCTCAAAACAACAGTTTTTAACAACTACAGTCAGGAAGGTGCGGAAAGAACAACAGTAGAGATAAACTTCAACATGACGTACGCCAAAAACCACTCTATTGGATAAAACATCCCATTCTGCCTGGGAGTAAATGAAACGCATTCATCCTAGCGAAAACAAAAATCTCACCCAAGAGACCTAAAAATCAAGCATAGAGTGGTGGAAAGTTCGAATACACATTGACATTTACGATAGCAAAAGCATCACAACTTTCTCAACAAGATTGCACCTCGTCCCAGCGGTAACAGCTGAACCAAGATACTTCTAGCCTAACAGTATACAAAAATAGAGTAACAGATAATAATCGCACTTCCCATTAGTATTTTGGGATCGTGGTACTCCTTTGATAACAAACAAAACAGTTCCAGAACTTCAAATGCAGCAGTACCGGTGATACTCAATTCCGTAACCTAACAAGGAAACAACTTGCGGCAGTGAAATCAGTAAAAAGATGTGGAATCTCGGTTTTCACAATGAAGATAGAGACAGCCAGAAAATGGAAGAAAGGAATTACGACCGAAGAGTTTTGGTTGAGCAAAGAAAAGAAAGAGAAATAGCCGTAACGAAAAACCAATATAAACACTCTCGTAAATGTTTTCAGAACAAAAAAAGGGGAAAAAACGGAAAGAAAATGTGCATAGAATTTTCACAATCATGTGGCTTCACAAAAAACAACAACTATACGCAACGACACGCAACAATAACAACAGCCGTATGCATACTTCCATAGACAGTCTTTCAAAAATTGCGTATACTGTGACGCTTCTACACTTTGGTAACAAGGATGGGAGTACAGAGCTTCGGAAATCTGATTAGTCTTTCCGGACACGTTTGTTCAACAACTTTATGACCGGATCCCACAACTCACGGTTGGAGCACAATGATAAAATAGCGTTCTGGATGTCCGTTCGTTTACTCTTCACTGTGAAATCTGGATACTCGGCACAAAAGTCAAAAGCATCCAACTAGAACCAAATTAAGTAAGCCTTACTTAAAAACGTGAATGTTACCAATTACGGGAATAAAACCCACATTATGCGGAGGAGCAAGAAGGAATCGGCGAGCAAATTCAACGATGTATAAACCGCAATCAAAGTTGTTACTTTGTTGTGGCAGGCTTTCCGGTATGACACAAGGCATTAGTTCCACCGAGCAATGTGGATGCGGACGTCGTCGCAGCCACACATACTGGATAAATAGAAGGTATAAGATTGTGATGTAAAAGTAATACAGTGAAACAATGGCTGTGTTTAATATTACCTTAAGGAATTCATTACAGAGAAGAGCTATGTTCTGGATGTTGTTCAAGTCCTCATTTATCTGAGAATCGAAACAGACCATCCTGGCTGACGTAGTAAAAGGGTGGCAGATGATTACTAACGACCTAAAGAAGTTTAACTGTTATTTTGCTGTGATTAATTATGCCATTAGGACGATATTTAAGTAGAACCAGAAAAGTGCAGCAAAATTCTGCTTTTTCCTTAGAAACTGAAGACTAGAAGAACTGGTCCTTTCAGCTACAAGTTAAAGAGGTTCATTCAGCTCCGTTAACACCATAGTAGTCCGGGTTGCAGTCATTTACCCTCATCCATTTCCGACGTAGTCATAAAAATATTTCGGGGTAATTTTTGGGTAAAAATACAAACCTGGCCCAAACTCCTCCCTATCTATGTACCTCACAATCCATACGGAGGGACAGGGAAACTGCAAGAAGAGGGAGGAAGGGAGAGGAAGGTAAATAGAGCAGACACGAGTTTCTACATACGCTGATTCATACGCCATGTCACGTTTTTTTCAAGTAAGAAAACATCAAAGAAAAGAAGACTTTCACCCAGCAGATAATAGAAGAATAACCATTATCAATCAGTGGCGCTAAACAAGCCAAGGTATTTTTAGCCTTCTTCTCTAAGTTGTACATCTTCATCTTAACTTACATCCACCAAATTAGTATGAACTTAACAACACTATTACCTGGTACCGTTAAAATCTATGAAATTGAGGATAAAACCAGATTTCTGGGTAGGGAATAAACTAAACTGAAAAAGTATATCAAAGAAGAAAAATCAAAATACAAGACCAGTCTCTTATCTAGGATCACTCATCCAAAAAATTCTGGAAGGACTATAGTAGGAAGTAACTTCAGGGTAAACATTTATCTATTTATTTTATTTTCTATGACCTATCTTCACGTCTACTATGCGGAACCCAGCACTTCTCACATTTGATTCGTTTCCTCGAATCCATATTCCACTAATATTTACCAAGCTTTACGTGTGGCTTCGGCTTCTGCTTTAGGATTTCCATTTCGTCTTGGATATAGTAGAATGCTGCTCAAAACTATTCCCACTGAAGTGCTGAGACAGCCGGTGTAGAGTGGTCTCAGTTGGATAGCAGAGAGTGACTTTTTCCTGGACAAATCCTGTATCAACTTCCCGACCCCAAAGGTATGACAGGCTTGGTGAGTCCTGAGCGATATCGAACCATCAACGTGCTCGTGATGACTGGCATCATTACCACTATCGCTATCCGCCGTTAGAGCAATTTAAAGCAGACGTAAATAGCATAACACGAGTTGGCACCTACCTACTGAATAAAAAAAATTTTTTATTAGCCCAGAGAGTATAGTGGTTCCAACATAGCAATTAATTCTCCTAATTTCCTACCAGTGCTCCCACTCGTTTACTGGTAAGACGATATATTCTACATCAATAAAGTCGAAATCTTCAACGAAATCCAGAATATCGCCGAACCGAGCATCAAGCTGAAATAAGAAACCACTGACGGAAGAACTAGGAGCGATTTCTAACCAATGGCCTTAATGTGCTGTATGCAGTGACTTACCCTTTGTTCATCAGTAAGAGTATCACACTTATCATCAACGCTGGCTCCACAATGAAGTATGGACAAGTTGTGCCAAAATACTGATGGAAGAACAGTGACACACTTATTCCTGAAGAAAAAATCTTTGAAGAAGCACATGGGATGCTAAAGTGTAACGTGCAAAGTGCTTAGTACAACTCTTATGTAAGAAACCAAAAAGCTTCAGTATGATCAAACAATATAGTTGGATGAATGATTAGCAACAGCATTTTTGATGAAACCCTTACCTCAGGCAACAAATGCTCTTGCTGAAAATACTTTCCTGCAATAGTTTTGTCTCCAGTAATAAAATTACTCTGTTGGTTAGCAAGGAAAGGTTTTCCACCAATTAAAACAATACAAAATAACTGATTTTCCTTATAAATATAAATACTCACGGTTCATCTGGAAGGACATGTTCAACTATATGATTGAGATAGAAATCGACAATTGTGTCATTCAAGAGATTCTGGAATACTTTTGGATGACATTTCTTCTTTGATTACAAACCAATTTTTCACAAGGAATTAGCAAGACTTCATTCCTTGCTCATCACAGTTTAAATGGTCTTCTAAAAATCTGAAGGAGAGGCGAAAAAAAGAGAAAGAGGACAACAAGAAATAGTAATCGCCAAACGCTAACTGTAAAAATACTGTGATAAGGACATACAAATCTAGTTAACCTCCTGAAATGAAGTAGGAACAGTAGAACATTCGACCTCACATCAACAAAATCATCCTAATTATATTGAACTTTGTTGAAGTTCACAGAAAGCACAACACTACATTTACCGCCTCAGTGTCACTTTTAACTTGTGGCATTGTCTCTTACACTGTCAATTAGAAACTTTTTTTCAGATGTTTCAACGGATTACCAGTTGCTATTAGGTTGGTACATATGAAATGTCCGATTTTATTGTTTTAAGTTTCCGCGTAATTTTTTCAAACAAAAACTTTGTTCTTTATGTACGATTAGTATATATTTTTGTAGCGCAAAGTCTGTCCTTTCTACATCTAGTACTGGTTTTCTCAAAGTTTATTATTTCAACATGTTTATAGGCTTTAACCTTAGTATGAATCATCACGATATTTGTGTCCTTTTTTTTGTACGAGTGGAAGAGTGGACATAATGTCGGAGCATGAGCTCGGAATATCACCAAGTTTGAGGTGAAAGCAGTATTAGTGAATCAACAGTGTGAACGCAGTAGCGGAAAATCTGATCTAGTGACTTCGCCTAGTAGTTAAGGAAGACCGCGGATGTCCCAATGAACTTGACGACGACGAATTGAAGGCACTAGCGGAGGCGAACACGCGAACAACTGTTCTCGAGTTTGCGCAACAGCCTGGCGTAAGCACAGGAACAATTTTCACGCACTTAAATCACGTAGGAAAGACAAAGAAAGTCGACAAGTGGGTGCCGCACGAATTAAGCGATAATCGAAAAAATTTCCATTTTGAAGTCGTCTGATCCTATTCTGCGCAACAAAAATGAACTTTTTCTTGATCGAATTGTGACGTGCGACGAAAAGTGGATTCAGTACGACAACCGGAGGGGTTCAGTTCAATGGCTGGATTGCGATCAGGCTCCACAACACTTCTGTAAGCCGAAATTGCACCAAAAAAACAGTGACTGCTTGGTGGTCTGCAGCCAGCCTAATTCATCACAGCTCTTTGAATCCGTATGAAACGATTACGGTAGAGAAGTATTGCCAACAAATCAACGATATGCACCGTAAACTCCAACAACAATGATCGGTATTAGCCAACAGAAAAGGATCAATCCTTCGCCACTACAAAGCCCGCCTCATGTTGCGGAACTAGCGCTGTAGGTGTTGAACGAGTTGGGCTACGAAACCTTGCTCCATCCGCCATATTCATCAGACTTCTCGCCTACCGACTATCACTTCTTTAAGCACCTTGAGAACTTCCTGCGCGATAAACCCTTAACCAACCACGATGACGTAGATAATGCCTTCAATAAATTTATCGCTTCCGCAACCATAAATCTATGCAACTGGAATAAATAAACTCGTTTCTTGTTGGAAAAAATGTGATGATTCTAATGGTAATTATTCCGATTAATAAGAAATAGTATGAAAAAAATTATGGTTATTAAAAGTTTACATTAAGAACCGGATATTCCACATGTTACATGTCTTCACAAACCTTGGTATGTTGATCTCTTGGACACTAGCTAAAGGTTGACCATTTGACAGAAATCATTTTAAGCGTCATATTGCTTCCAAATTTTGACAAAACTACCATCGATATTTTCTTAAGGCCACTCCAAGCATTACTTGTATGCCTTTTTTCGTTCTAATTTTGACTTCTGTACCAAGTTCCCAAACTATTATGGACAATAAACAACGAGAAATCCAGAGTTCAATTCTAATGCTTTGATGCAACAGTAGTTTGTGAACTTCAGCCTTCTAGATTATCCTTTTAGAATAACTGATATTACATATACAAGTCGTGACTATATCGATGCTCTCAAACACGGCTGGCCTCAAATGATGAACGATATAACATATTTCGATCCCAACACTTCTTGTATTCGGTTTCTTGCGTGGCACAGACCATCCACGTTCTTCGGATTTGCATATGTATTCGACTGCTGCTTAAGGATCTTTGGACATGTTTATGAATGTAATTGAATACTGGTCGTCGACTCAACTTTAAATCCCTAGGATAGTCGTATTAAGACGTTCTCATGTCCTAAACACAGGTATCCGACAGCCTTTGCGGATCGGAAGGAATAATTCCGAGAAGTCTGGTGGTAATTTCGCGACCCTGAAGAGATGGGAGGTTTCCTTGGCTCAGGACACGATTAAACCGGAACCTTCCGCGTACTGAACGACATTTCTACTACAGCGACATTTCCATTCTGTACGTACGTTCTGGAACAAAAATGTTTAACAAGGCTTTGCGAAGTTAAGGTAGTTGAGGTATTAACATTTATATTGCACAACTCGTAATGCTACAGAATAAACATACTCATCTCACTGACGTCCTCGAGTTGTCCGAACTAGTCAAACAACACTGGATACAAACCCAATACTAGGAACTTCACACCACAGTTGAATAAATGTCCAGGGCAAAAATTGTCGAATGTTTTAAGTTGGATCGCAAAAACTAATGCCTGCAGACAACGCCAATGTTTCCCGAAACAACAGCGAACAACGGAATGGAATCAAACACCATTCTACGTCGCACTAGACTTCATATCTAACGACTTCATCCAAACTGGGATTACCGAGTCTAATTCTGCCTCTTCAGAATATACATTCAGAGACCGTTCTCAGAATAAAATATACTCCAACTTAACTACGATTGCATATACCGTAATGACACCATTGAGAAACAGCTCATTCATTTTAAGAGTTGAAATACACTACTAAAATCTCCATATATTTACTAACTGGTGTAAGTTTTTTATTCTAACAAATTCCAATTCCGACTCTTTGGAGCACACAAAACATATTTTTCGCCTTTTCAACCACTGTTCGAAGTTTGAAGGTCAGAGTAACTGGGTATGACCGGGTTCTGTTCAGCAGGACAAGGTACAAACAAAATGGTGTTCACCAATAATGCTTTTTATGCTTTCGGCTACCGCATCTGTGCTAAAAGTTTTAAAAACGTAAATTCCGCTCAACCAAAACCAGAAGAACGGATTTTGGGGATTTCAGTCCCTAAGAAGTTGAAGATAGAAATATTTTGTAAAGCTTACAAACACTTCTGAAGTAACAGAACTAAGTCTCTTTATACGTAAAACCCTTACACAGCTCTCAACTAAAGTTCTCTATCAATAAAGAAATAAGCAACAGCCGAATCGGAAAATCATCATGGTCGTGAACCTGCTTCCCAGAAAATCAAACTCTTATCATGTATCAGGACTTAATCAACTGTTCCTTTTGTTTCATAATAGAAAACACTGAATCCACCCGGTTCTCGTAAGTCCGCTGAATACGTATGCCATACTTTTGCTCTCTTTTCAAGATTGCCAAGTATAATCTAAAAGAGAACACTCACATTCTCTCGCAGACACAGGAAGTCACAGAGTCGAATGCTGATGGACTGGAAAGGGAAGCGAATTCTCAACATTTCCGCTGAAGACGCCAACACCAAACAGCCGTCCTTGAAGTAATAAATGAACGTTGTAAGATAGAAAATCCGATATTTGAAACCATGCTTCCTCTGAGAGTTAACAAATCAAAAACAAGAGAAGCGATAATGTTGAAAGTAGTGAACAGATAAATGATAACGATAACCACTATAAAACATACTTTCTTCTTATTTCTTAATCCTGAGCCACTTGAAAAATCATCTGTTAACTCCGATTCGTCGTTGCCTTCTTCAGAACAATCGAGTGACAACAATGAGGATGGATTCATTGAAGGAGATTCGTCTCCTGAATAAAAATATTGTTATGCTATTTATAGCTATGGGAATAGTGCAACAGGACGCTCCATAATCCACACTGTCTATTGCTTGGTTTACTCTCGTCCTTGACTAAATAACTTCTTTACCACTTGCGGATATGTGAGTTGATAACAGGTCCATTTGAACAACAAAATACCCTCTCACTGCAATACACCTCAAAAAAGTGTACGCTGACACTAACAATGGAAATTTTTAGCTGTACATTTCTACAAGATTCGTCAACGACGAGTGCTATATTTTTATACAACAAACCCAAAATACAAATTAAGTACACACTATTACAATGAATAAATTTTTGACCATATCAATTGTATTCAGCCGCTATGAGTTCTGAAACTTTACAGACGACCACGAAAAAACACCCTATAGTGATAACGAACTTTGATATATTATACCTTATGAAAGACCCAGATGGTATCGTGAGCGAGGATGTGAAAGAATGAGATTTATGAAAACAGGGAACTCAAATATCACGAAGATCAGCCACCGAGTTTTAATGTAAGTAGGATTTTAAGCCACTGACTACCACACTACGTGTCAGTAAACGATGCACCGATTGATACACGACACAATACACGCCCAAAGTGGATCATACTGAAGGCGGAACCGTCTTGTATGAAAAGATCCCAATGAATGAAGTCAATCATTCGCGCGATGTTCTCTCCAGTGGATCCGACTCGA